GGGGTCGGGCGTGTACGCCTCGCAGAGCAGCGCGAGGACGCCGCGGTCGAGTCCGGCGGACGGCTCGATGCAGTGGGGGACGTACTTTTCGCCCTTGGGCGCGCCGTTGATGCCGATCTCGCCGCGCTCGGTGTCGAAGTACTCCATTTTGTTCTTGGAGTGCGTCTGGTGGGCCTGGAGGTCGTAGTCCGAGCGGTGGGCGACGCCCTCGAGCTCGCCGAAGCCCGGCGCGGTGAAGGGGAAGCGGTACTCGATGTCGCTCGTGCCGGCGCCGGTCTTGGCGTAGTGGGCGAGCTCGTCGGCGTCGTGCTCGCGGAGCTGGAGGTTGTCCCCGGCCAGGCCGATGCTCTGCCACCACGCGAAGCGCGAGTCGCGCCAGAAGGCGTACCAGTCGCGCGCCTCGGACTCGTGGCAGAAGAACTCGACTTCCAGCTGCTCGAACTCGCGCGAGCGGAAGGTGAAGTTCCGCGGCGTCACCTCGTTGCGGAAGGCCTTGCCGGTCTGCCCGATGCCGAAGGGCACGCGGACGCGCATCGTGTCCACGACGTTCTTGAAGTTGATGAAGATGCCCTGGGCGGTCTCGGGGCGGAGGTACGCGGTGTCGTCCTCGCTCGCGGTGGCGCCGACGTACGTCTTGAACATCAGGTTGAAGGCTCGCGGCGGCGTGAGGTGGCCGGCGTTCTGCGTGAAGGGCGAGGGGATCTTCGCGGAGTGCGCCGCGAGGCGCTCCTGGCCGACCTCGTAGATCACGCCCATCCGCCGCATGCCGGTGGCGTCCTCGAGCATGATCTCGGGATGCTCCGCCTCCGTCGGCCCTTCGATCACCTTCACCTTCGCCTTCTTGAAGACCTTCTTCCCCTCATTCCGGAAGAACTCCGCCGCCTCGCCCTCCGTGGAAGCGACGCAGGTGAAGTCCGGCAGGTACTCCGGGTCGTCGATCGCCCGGCTGTGCGCGTCGCGGTAGGGGTCGGCGCTGCCGTCCGGCGCGGGCATGGTGAACAGGCCGAAGAGGTGATCGGCGCGGAAGCGGCCCTTGGTCTCCTTGTCGTCCACCATCGGGTCGTTGAACCCCCCGACGTGCCCGCTCGCCTCCCACACCTTCGGGTTCTGGATGATGCACGTGTCCACCGGGACGATCGACACCGGCTTGCCGTTCGGGCCCGTCTCGCCGCCCGCGCCGAGCATGACCACGTCGTTCCACCACGCGTCGCGCAGGTTCTTCTTGAGGATCGCGCCGAGGGGGCCGTAGTCCCAGAAGCCGTTGATGCCCCCGTAGATCTCCGACGCCTGGTAGACGAAGCCCCGGCGTTTGCACAGGGACATGATCTCGTCCATGGATTTCGTGGCGCCGGCGGGGTTCTGCGTTTCGGTCGTGCTCATGGGGGGATTCCGTGGGTCTGAGGGCTGGGACGGACCACTATACCGGCCTCCCGAGGGGCGTCGGCGAGGGCACTCGGGGGATGCCGGCGCGTCCCAGTGGGCATGACGAACCTCGCACGCCCCATCGTCCTCATCCGATTCGTCGGCCTCATCGCCACGCTCGCGACGTTCAAAGCCGGCGCGTACGGCTTCGCGGCCGTGGTCTTCAACCTCCGCTACAACCAGTCGATGTTCCGTTTCTGGGAGATCTCGTACCGCGACGCTCAGGAGGACGTGGCCGCGTTCCTGGCCCTCGCGATCTCGCTCTACGTCTTCCTCGACGGGCGGGCCGTGGCGTGGGTCATCATGCGAGGTGTCCCCCGGGCGGAGCGGCACTGCTGCCCGTTGTGCGGCTACGACCTGGGCGGGGAAACGGCACCCGGGTGCTCTGAGTGCGGGTGGGGGAGATCCGAGAAGCAAGAAATGCGAAAAGGCCTTTGATTTGCCCCCCCAAACGGGTAGGCTCAGGATCAAAGCACCCTTCCGGAGGAGATCGATGCCAGCAAGACGGAATGTGTTGATGTGCCTGTACGCGGGCGTTGTGCTCGCGGGTGCGGGCGTGCTCGCGGACGCGGGAGACCTGAACCCGCCGCCGGGCCCCGTTTCGCCCACGATGGTGACCCTCGACGAGATCGACGGGAAGCTCGATCAGATCCTTTCCGGTCTCACGTCACGCGTGGACGCGTCGTCGGGCGAGCATCGCGGCTCGCCGCCCTTCGATATCTATATGACCGCCGACTTCCTGATCGGCGAATCGGATGATCCCGCTCACCGTGACTGGCTCGACATCGACTCCGCGGTGCTAGGCTTCAGCGGGCCGAGCGTCAATCCGGGCATGCCCCCGGTTCCGCGCACATTCAACGAGATCAAGATCACCGGGACCGTCGATTCGGCGCTCACCGCGCTCATGCATCACCAGACCGATTCCGACCGGCTCCGCCGAGTCATCATCGAGTGGTGCCTCGACATCGGGTTTGCATCGCCGTGCGTGCTGCGAATCGAGATGGACGAGTGCTTCGTGACGAAATCCATGATGACGCTCAAGGCCGACGGCACGCCGCCGGCGTACGTGATCTCGTTGCAGCCTCGGGGGATCCTCGAAGTGACCTACACGCAGCTCAACAAGTCCGGAAATCCCGACCGGATGATCACCGACACCATCACCATCCAGTAAGCGGAGGCACGCCATGCGAAAGAACACAGCGATCACGCGTCTTTGTCTCGCCGCCGCGCTCTGCACGGGTGTGTGGGCGATCGCGAACGCCGGCCCTGTTGCGCCGCCTCAGGGCGGCGTGACGCCGACCCCCGAAGCGCTCGACGTTCTGAACACAAAGGTCAACCAGATCATCGAGCAGATGGGCAGCCCCCCGACGGATCCCGAGAACGGGTTGAGCGCGTTCATCAGCATGATCCCGGGCGAGTCGCCGAACGAACGCGTCATCCTGAATGAGTTCACCTACGAGATCCTTTCGCCGTTCAATCCGGCTCCCGTCACGGGTGGGTTCACCCGCACGGAACTCGGCGAGGTCAAGATCTCGTTCGACAAGCTCGATTCCGCGTTCGTCCCGTTCTTGTTCAGCGGCCTTCGCGGCACGCCGATCGCCGAGATGCATATCGACCTTTGCACCCAGGCGGGCGTCGGGCAGCCGATGGCGAACCAGTGCGTGATGTCCATCGAGATGTTTAACGTCGTCGTCATCAGCGCCGACACGGGCGACACGCCGGACCAGAGCGTGTACCGCCTCGCCGCCGAGCGCATCCGGACGACCTACCGCCGTTTCAACATTCAGGGGATGCCGATCGGGACGCACGTCCACGCGTGGGACTACGTGACCCAAAGCCCGTTCTGAGCCGCTGCGGGATCGCGGTCGAGGCGACGTCCCGGGCCGGATCTCGCCTAGAATGGCGGACCCATGGCCACCTCCACCCAGACGTCCCTTGACCCCTCCGACACCGCCTCGGGCGACGACGCCCTGATCGGCACCGCACGAACCATGCGCGCCCTCGTGAAAGCGAAACGGTCCGAGGGGCTCGACTTCGTCGCCGACCGCCCGATGCCCACGGGCTGCCACGGCGTCGTGGGCGAGCCGGGGCCGACGGAGGTGCTCATCCGGGTGAAGAAGGCGGGCGTCTGCGGGACGGACCGGCACATCTACGAGTGGGACGAGTGGGCCCAGGGTCGCATCCCGACGGGGATCGTCACGGGCCATGAGTTCGCGGGCGTCGTCGAGTCGGTCGGCCCGGGTGTCGAGCGGTTCAAGCCGGGGATGCGGGTCTCGGGCGAGGGGCACATCACAAAGTGGGAGGACTTCAACTCCCGCACCGGCAACGCGCACATCGCGCGCGATACCAAAATCATCGGCGTGGACCGCGACGGCAGCTTCGCGGACTACCTCATCCTCCCGCAGTCCAACGTCTGGCCCCTCCACGAGGACATCCCGGACGAGTTCGGCGCGGTGATGGACCCGCTCGGCAACGCGGTGCACACCGTGATGGAAGCCGGCGTGAGCGCCAAGAGCGTGCTCGTCACCGGCGTGGGGATCATCGGGCTCATGTCCGTCTCCGTCGCCCGCGCGGCCGGGGCGTCGCGGATCTACGTCACCGACACCGACCCCAGGCGCCTTGAGCTCGCGAAGGAGCTCGGCGCGGACGTCGCCTTCAACGCAAAGACGGACGACGGCATCCCCGAGCGCATCCGCGCCGAGACGCGCGGCGAGGGCGTGGACGTCCTGCTGGAGATGTCCGGCGCCCCGAGCGCGATCGACACCGGCTTCGAGGCCTTGCGCAACGGCGGCACCGCCTCGCTCCTGGGCATCCCGTCCCGACCGCTGAACTTCGACATCACGCGCCACGTGATCTTCAAGGGCGCGAAGGTGCTGGGGATCAACGGACGGCGCATGTGGGAGACGTGGTACCAGATGGAGACCCTGCTCCTCGCCAACAAGCTCCGGCTCCGCAAGATCATCACGCACGAGATCCCCATGGAGGACTACAACGAGGCGTTCCGCCTGATGCAGTCCGGCGAGGGGATCAAGATCGTGCTGAACATGGGCGGCTGACCGGCCTCGCGGTCCTCCAAGGGGTCATGACGCGATGACGCTCGCGATCTCGGAACCGACGACCACCGCGGTGGTGCTTCTCATCTTCGGCGTGCTCATCGCCTTCAGCGTCCTGTTTACACGCGCGCTCGACCGCCTCGGCGTGCCCGTCGTCCTCCTGTTCCTCCTCCTCGGGATGATGGGCGGTTCGGAGGGCCTCGGCGGGCTTTCGTTCGAGAACTACGAGGTCGCCTACCGGCTCGGCACCATCGCGCTCGTCCTGATCCTCTTCGACGGCGGCCTCAACACCGCGCACACCTCCATCCTGCGCAGCCTCGCCCCCGCCAGCACGCTCGCGACGATCGGCGTCTTCGGAACCGCCGGCATCGTCGCCGTCTTCGCGCGCCTCTTCGGGCTCTCCTGGCCCGAGGCGCTGCTCATCGGCGCGATCGTCTCATCGACCGATGCCGCGGCCGTTTTCTCCGTGCTCCGCGGCGGCAGCCTCCGCGTCCGCGAGCCGGCGCGCAGCACGATCGAGGTCGAGTCCTGCATCAACGACCCGATGGCGATCATCCTGACCGTCTCCGTCGTCGAGTACCTCCGTGTCGGGGGCGGCTTCTCGCCCTGGGCGATCGTCGAGGTCCCGCTCCAGCTCCTGATCGGCGGCGTGGTCGGTGCCGCGATCGGATTCGCGAGCCGGTGGCTGCTCAACCGCATCACCCTCAGCACGACCGGGCTCTTCCCCGTGGCGACGCTCGGCGTCGCGTTCCTCGCCTACGGCCTGAGCACCATCGCGCACGGGAGCGGGTTCCTGGGCGTCTTCGCGGCCGCGTCGGTGCTCGGCAACGGCCCGCTGCCGTACAAGTCCGGCCTGACGCGGGTGCACGACGCGGTGGCGTGGTTCGCGCAGGTATCGATGTTCCTCATGCTGGGCCTGCTCGCGTTCCCGAGCCGGCTCGTGGACGTCGCGGGCGTCGGCATGACGCTCGGGCTGGTGCTCGCGTTCGTCGCGCGCCCGGTCGCGGCGATGCTCTGCGTGATCCCGTTCGGCTGGAAGCGAGCGGACGTGATCTTCACCGCGTGGACGGGCATCCGCGGCGCGGTGCCGATCGTGCTCGCGACGATCCCGATCCTGGCGGAGATCCCGGGCGCGGAGCGGGTGTTCGACATCGTGTTCTTCATCGTTGTGGTGAGCGCGATCGTGCCCGGGGCGAGCATCGTGCCGCTCTCGCGTCGCCTGAAGATGCTGGACGACTCGCCCGCCCCGCCCAGCGCGACGCTGGAGATCCACTCGCGGAAGCGCATGGACGGGGAGATCCACGTCTACCGCGTCACGCCGGACGTCGCGGTGTGCGGCGCCTCGCTCTCCGAGATCGTCTTCCCGGAGCACGCGTCCGTCGTGCTCATCGTGCGCGGGGACGAGCCCCTCGCCGCCCGGGGCGTGACACGCCTGCGGGAGGGGGACTACGTCTACGTCCTCTGCCGCCACGAGGACGAGCCGCGCATCGGATTGCTCTTCGGTGCCGAGGCGGAGCTGTGAGGCCGGAGCCCACGTGGCTCAGACTTTGTCCCTGTTGCGTTCCTTCTGCAGCGACATGATCTTCCGAACGGCGTTGTCGCGGATGTTCTGGAGTTGCACGCCAAAATTCTCGAGTTCCTCGAACGCGGCCTCGATGCGGCCGAGCTCCTCTTCCTTGTGGCCCACGAAGGCGGGGTGCGGCTCTTCGCGGGCGAACTGTTCCCGCTGTTTTTCCGCAACGTTCTTTTTCTTCACAACCGAATCGATGAGCGCGACCGCGCGCTGCCACTGAACCACCGCGGCGTCCGTTCGCTCCCGCCAAAGCTTTTTCGATTTCGGGGTCAACCCACCGCCGAAGGTGTAGTAGTAATAATCAAAGCGACTCGGATCGATCCGCTCCGCTTCGGTGGTGGCGTTGTCGATCGCGGTGAACATCGCCAGCGCGTCGTCGATCGTCCCGATGATCTCCTCGACGTCCTCGCGTCGGAGGCGCTCCTTGCGGAGGATGCTCTCGTTCATGTTCGCGAGTTGCTTTTCGCCGTGCTGGCTGAGGGCTCGCCAGTTCTTCAGGCCGAGCTCGTCGTCGATCTCGGAGTCGTCCCCGTTGATGGCCTTGCCGAGGCCGAGCGACTCGCAGTCTTTGGCCGTGACGCCCGCGAGCTCGCCCCGCATGACTTTCGCGAGCGATTCGCCCGACCAGCCCACTTCGCTCGCGATCACACTGATCCGGTTGATCGAGGCCGCGTCGGGCGTTTCGTCGTCGGGCCCGGGTCCGGAGAGGAAGCCGGCGACCTCGAACCAGACGTGCTCGCAGGCGAGCGCGATCGGGACAGCCGCGCCGGAGCAGTGCTCGATCACGGCGTGCGTCGTGAGATCGTGCTCGGCGTCCGTGATGGCCTCGACGATTGCGAGCGCCTCATCCAGATCGCCGCCGACCGAGTCGAACGTGAAGACGACATGCTCGATGCCGCGCCGGCGCGCGTAGCGCAGCGCCGCCTCAACGCCTTCGCGCGTGACGGTATCGGGCGGGTCGTTGACGGATTCGAAGCCGATGCGCGACTCGATCGGGATGGTGATGTAGTACGTGTAGCTCTTCGACCCCGATTCGCGGACGTTCTCCTCGGAGTCGTTCTCGTCGTCGAGCGGACGATCGGCGGCCTCTTTCGGCGATGGCGCCTCGACGACCTCGATCGAGCGGATCTCCGAGTGGCGGAACGTCTGCTTGTACGGGATGTTGGCGATGACCGTCTCGACGACGATCTCGCGGGAATCCTGCGAGACGAGCTTGCCGACGACCGGGTCGCCGCGTTTGAGGGTAACGCGGACGGTGTCGCCGACGCCGCCGAGGGCGGACGCGGTCAGGCTGAGCGAGAGCAGGATCGCGTTGGCGGCGCGTCGCATGTACGCCTCCTGAAATGGTGTTCAGCGGGCGCGGTTCAGCGCGTCGACGTACGCGTCCAGGCGCCGCGCGACGGCCTCGAGGTCTTCGATGGGGATGTTCTTCTCGCGGAGGCGGATCTCGACGTAGTCGTACCGCTCGGCGAGCCGCGCCGCTTTCCGCAGGTCGCCCGCCATGCCGCGGAGCTTGGACTTGTAGCCGTGAAGCGTCTGCTCGGCGTCCGCGAGGTCGCTCGCGAAGAAGTAGTCCTCGATCGCCTTCTCGGCGGTCTTGATGTTGTTGTTGTACTGCTTCTGATACCGCCCCCAGAAATCATCGCCGTCGAACGCGACGCGATCGGAGTTGCCGATGCGCACGTGCTCGATCACATCGGTCACGCTCTCGGCGCTGCCGTCCGCAACGCCCATGCTCATCGCCTCGTCGTGCGTGAACGAGAGGATGGCTTTGTCCGAATCGATGAGCTTGTACCTCGGCGAACCGTCGTCATTCGTCGCGTCGAAGTCCGCCGGTTTCCGCTCGTGGAGCGTCCAGGGAGACGTCGACGTGTCGGCGTACACCTCGGACTCGGACATGATCATCGCGTCGACGATCAGGCCCGGGCGGTTGTGCTTCTCGGCGCGGGCGCGCCACTTGGCGGCCGTCGCGCTGTTGAATTTCGCGTCCACCTCGAAGTTGCCAGAATCGGCCTGCACGTACCCGACCGCGGCGCCGCAGCGGGCCTCGGGGCCGACGTAGAAATGCTCCATCGACATCGCGAGCATGGCCGCGGCACTGAAGCAGTCGCTGTTGATGTACACCGCGACCTCGAGATCGTGCTCGAAATCGTCGATCACGTCGCGGATGTCCTCGAGCACGAAGAGGTACCCGCCCGGCGATTCGAGATGAAAGACGACGAGCTCGGCGTCCTTGTCCTGCGCTCTCTCCAGCGCGTCGCGGAAGACCCCCGCGTTGACCTCCTCGCCGAAGGCGCCCTTCATCGGGATCACGGCGTACCCACCCTCGGTGCTCATCCGGGCGCTGCGGACCTCGCGCTGCTCGTCTTTCGCCTTGACCGGCTCGTCCCCGCGCCGCACCGCCTCGAGCTCCTTCGTCGCCGCGGATTCGAGGGTCTCGACCTTGATCACGTCGCTCTTCGCGATCGTCTTCGGGAACGCGATGTTCGAGATGAGGGTCTCGATGACGTACTTGTGCGGCGTCTCTTCGAGGACCGTGCCGTGGACTTTGTCGTCGCCTCGGAGGGTGAGCAGGACGACGTCCCCGACGTCGCCGAACGCGCCGGCGGACAGGGCGAGGGCAACGGCGGCGGAAACGAGAACACGGGCGCATCGCATGGGTCGCTCTCCTGTTTCGAGTTGACCCGCGATGTTACATAATGAATCCCAAGAAGTGAACAGGGAATCAGGGATATTCTTGTCGAACCGGGCGGACCATCACGTCGTTCACACACATGTGTGCCGGCTGGGCCACCATGAAGGCGATCAGCCGCGCAATATCGTGGGCCGTGAGCACCGGGGCGATCGTGTCCATGAACGCCCCGAAGCCCTCCATCTCGTAGTTGGCCGATTCCTGGAACTCCGTCCGGACGATGGCCGGGCAGACGTTGGAGACGCGCACGCCCACCGGCGCCAGCTCGCGCCGCACCGCCTCGGCGATGGACGCAATAGCGAACTTCGTCGAGCCGTACATGGAGGAGAACGGTGAAACGTTCTTCCCGACGCTCGAGGCGATGACCACGATGTCCCGCGGCTTCTCGAGCCAGGCGTCGGATTCTTTCGGGTCGGCGCACATGCCCTTCATCGACAGGGCCGCGCGCCGGATGAGCCGCGTCGCGCCGAGGACGTTGAGGCGGAGGATGCCCTCCCACTCGTCCGGATCCGAGTTGAGCGGCGAGCCGCGGAGCCCCCGCCCGGCGTTGACGAGCACGAGATCGGGCTCTCCACCGAATTGTGTCGCGCAGGCGTCGTACATCGCGTCGATGGTCTGTTCCTCGACGCAGTCCCCCGCCACGGCGAACGCGCTGCCGCCCGATTGGGCGATCTCGCGGACGAGGGCGTCGATCTTGTCGGATCGGCGCGCGTTGACGACGACGCTCGCGCCCATGGACGCGAAGTCGCGCGCGCACTGCTCGCCGATGCCCGCGGACGCGCCGGTGATCAGCGCGATCCGCCCTTCGAGTGGTTTGCCGGTCATGCTGAGAGAGTAGCAGCACGGAGGAGCAGCCCGAAGGCCGAATTCGGCACCGATCCAACAGAAAACGCCCGGTGAAGAGAGCCGGGCGTTCATGGAATCACACAGGAACAATCACGCAGAGCGCCCACTCACACCAGAGCGAGTGTGCGGCCGGACGGCCGCTACGGAGCGCCCAAATTCAAGCCAGCGAGTGTGCGGCCGGACGGCCGCTACGGAGCGCTCAAATTCAAGCCAGCGAGTGTGCGGCCGGACGGCCGCTACGGAGCGCTCAAATCTAGTACCGGCGGAGGACGCCGGTGACGATGCCCTGGATCTTGCAGTCCTTGACGATGATGGGCTCGAAGTCGTCGTTGGCGGGCTGGAGGCGGATGTGGTCGCCTTCCTTGAAGAAGGTCTTGAGGGTGGTCTCGCCGTTGGGCAGGAGGGCGACGACGCGGTCGCCGTTGCTCGCACTCGAGCGGCGTTCGATGATGACGTAATCGCCGTCGAAGATGCCCTCGTCCTTCATGGAATCACCGTCGACGCGGAGGGCGAAGGAGCCTCCCGACTGGCGGAGGCGGTCGCCGAAGAGCTCGGCCAGGTCGAGGGTGTCGGTATCCTCGAACTTCTCGATGGGGTAGCCCGCGGCGATCTTGCCGACGAGGGGGAAGCGCAGGGGCGTCTCCTCGTCGGGCAGCGCGACGCCCTCAGCGATCGACAAAGAGCGAGCCTTGTTCGGCTCGCGCACGAGCGCGCCCTTCTTGATGAGGGCCTCGACGTGCTCGAACACGGTGACCTTGCTGACGCCGAGCTCGTCGGCGAGCTCTTGCATCGTTGGGGAATAGCCATGCCGGACCCGGCTGTCGCGGATGAGCTGAAGGATCTTGAGCTGCTTGGGTGTGAGATTCATCGCTGGTGCGCTCCTGTGTCGAGCCGTTCGCGTGACCAAGAAGGGCCGAGAGCTCGGAAGCGAGCCCGTGCGACCGACAAAGAATGCCGTGCTGCTGTTCGCTGGCGCGTTCGGCGCTGAGCGCGTACCCCGCGGCGACCGCCAGTTCCGTGAACATCGCGGAGACGCTCTCCGCGTGAGGTGATCCGTGACCCGCCCCCGGGTTGACCCGTGCCTGAGACCGGCCCGCGGCCCGTCTGTCGTTCTGGTCGTCGCCCCGGCTGTTGTGCCGGCCGTCGTTCTGACGCTCCCAGGCGTCGCCCGACCAGCGCCGATCGCTCGCGGACGCGCTCCCCTCTTCCACCACGAGGGCCCCGCCGTCGGACGGCACGTACGACCTCGTGAAATCCCCGCCCGGGCCGACTTTGACCAATGCGTCGAGGGTTCTGGACATCTCGCCTGCCTTCGCCCGACGGCCCGCGCTCCGCGATCCGACGGCTCTCGGTCTCCCGCTTCAACGCGCTCCACGCGTGGATGGGGAGGGGTCTTTTCTGGCGACGACTCCGCGTCGTGCCCCGCGCCGCTCCGAGGTGCGGGGCCTGTGAATCCGTACGTCTGTTTGGGATACGCTACCCAATCATGCACCGCACGGCAAGGAGATATTCGGAAAAAGGCCGGTATTTTCTTTCGGTTTTTGTACGATACCCTTATCTGATCGAAAAACCGCGTTTCTGGTGCCCAGCACCGGATCGGAGGCGCCATGGGACGAGTCGTCATTGCCGCGTTCAAGCCGCACGAGGGCAAAGAGGCCCAGCTCCGCGAGGTGATCGCCTCGCGACTCCCGCTCCTGCGCGAGCTGGGCATGGCGACGGATCGCCCGGAGATCCTTCTCCGCTCGAAGGAGGGCGCGATCATCGAAATCTCGGAATGGGTGGACGAGGACGCGATCGGACGCGCCCACCAGCACCCGATGGTGCTCGAGCTCTGGGAGCGTTTCGAGGCGTGCAGCGACTACGTCAGCCTCGACACCATCGCGGAGGTGCACGAGATGTTCGCGGTGTTCGAGGCGATCGACGGGTGATTCAGACCTCGGATTCCACCCGTGGCGACGCCGGCCAGTCCAGATGGAAGAACTTCCCGCGCGGCTCGTCCACGCGCTCGTAGGTGTGGGCGCCGAAGTAGTCGCGCTGCGCCTGGAGGAGGTTGGCCGGGACGCGGGCGGTGCGGTAGCCGTCGTAGTAGGCCAGCGCGCTGCCGAAGGCGGGGGAGGGGACGCCCGCCATGCACGCCACGGCGCAGACCTTCCGCCACGCGTCCTCGCTCTTGGCGATGACGCCCGCGAAGTACGGGTCGAGGAGGAGGTTCGCGAGGTTCGCATCCTTCTCGTACGCCTCGGTGATCTTCTGCAGGAAGCGGGCGCGGATGATGCAGCCGCCGCGGAAGATGCTCGCGATCTCGCCGAAGTTCAGGCTCCAGCCGTAGTGCTCGCTCGCGGCCCGCATGAGCTGGAAGCCCTGGGCGTAGGAGCAGATCTTGGCGCAGTAGAGGGCCTGCCCGACGGCGCTGACGAAGCTCTCCGCGTCGTCGAACATCGCGCCGAGGGCCTTCGCGGGGTCGGCGGAGGACTTGATGATTTTTGAGGCCGCGACGCGTTCTTCTTTAATGGCGCTCAGCGCGCGGGCGAAGACGGCCTCGGCGATGGTGTTCGCGGGGACACCGAAGTCGAGCGACGAGATGCTCGTCCAGCGCCCGGTGCCCTTCTGGCCGGCGGTGTCGAGGACGATGTCCACGAAGGGCTTGCCGGTGCGGGGGTCGGCCTGCTTGAGGATGTCCGCGGTGATCTCGATGAGGAACGAATCCAGGTCGCCGCCGTTCCAGTCGTGGAAGACGTCCGAGATGGCGCTGGGCGTCATGCCGGCGACGCGCTGCATGAGGTCGTACGCCTCGCAGATCATCTGCATGTCGGCGTACTCGATGCCGTTGTGCACCATTTTGACGTAGTGCCCGGCGCCGTCCGGCCCGATGTACGAGGTGCACGCCTCGCCGCCCTTGACCGGCTTCGCGGGCGCGGCCCCTTCGATGGGCTTGCCGGTCTTGGGGTCCACCTTCGCGGCGATGGCCGTCCAGATGGGTTTGAGCAGCTCCCAGCTCTCCGGCTTGCCGCCCGGCATGAGCGAGGGCCCGAACCGCGCGCCCTCCTCGCCGCCCGAGACGCCCGAGCCGACGAAGAGCAGGCCCTTTTCCGTGAGGGCCTTCTCGCGCCGGATCGTGTCCTCCCACTGGGCGTTGCCGCCGTCGATGATGAGGTCGCCCTTGTCCAGGAGCGGGACGAGCCCGTCGATCACGGCGTCCGTCGCCTTGCCGGCCTGGACGAGGATGACGATGCGTCGGGGCTTCTTGATGGACTGCACGAAGTCGGCCAGCTCGGCCTGCCCGACGACGCACCCGCCCGTGTCGCCGAAGGCTTTGGGCGGGTTGGCCTCGACGAACTCGGTCATTTTGGAAGTGGTGCGGTTGTAGACGGAGACGCGGAAGCCGTGGTCGGCCATGTTGAGCACGAGGTTCTGGCCCATGACCGCGAGCCCGACGAGCCCGACGTCCGAGAGTTGATTGGATGACATCCGTGCCTCCGCGTGTGGGTGCTTTGAACGCGCGGATTGTCACTCATGCTTGAGAGGCAAGCAAACCGACGCTCTGCTCAGTCTTGTGTGGAATCAGTCAAGGTGCCGCCGCGGCACCGCGCTCGCCACGAGCCGCACCGTCTGCGGCACGGAATCGGCCGCGACGGTGATCTCTTCTTCGGGGTCGGCCTCGATGACGAAGTCGATGGTGGCCCGGCGGAGGCGGGGGCCGATGTCGTAGGTGAGCGTGAAGACGCAGGACTGCACGCCCGAGAGGAGCAGCTGCTCGTCGAGGAGGGTGCCGTCGGCCTGCTCGCGGACGTACCAGATCTCGCCCGGGAGCTGGGCGGGGGTGTAGGCGGGGTCGGGGGTGCCGCCCGGCTGCCAGATGCGGAGGTTCGCGGCCTCGCCGACGAGGCGGAACTCGATGCGGGTGGTCTCGTTGTCCGCGGATTGGAACTCGAAGTAGTCGCACGCGAGAGGGTTGTCGTCCGCGTCGAGGACGTCGTCGGGCACCGGCGCGAAGTCGACGCCCGTGCGCACCATCCCGAGGACACGGTTCATGACGATGCGGGAGACGATGTGTGTCGAGGCGCTGTCGGTGGTCTGCTCGTAGCTCTTGAACATGGTGTCCAGCGCGACGGCGCTCGCGGCGAGGAGCGCGCCGGAGATGGCTATCGCGATGAGCGCTTCGACGAGGGAGAAGCCGGCGCGGCGGCGCCGGGGCCTTCGGGTTGTGCGTGGGGTGCGCATGGATCGGTCCTTAGTCGAAGTTGAAGCGGCCCTCGGTGTAGGAGCGGGGGACCGCGCTCGCGGAGAGGGGCGTCGCGAGGCCGTCGGGGAGGATGAGGTCCGGGTCGTACATGAGCTTCACGCTGCCGTAGCCCTCGAACGTGATCGCGCGTCGGACGAAGTTGCCCGGGTCGATGTCCGCGTCTGTGTCGGGCACGCCGTCGTACCACGCGTCGTCGTGCGTGCCCGAGAATCCGGCGACGGGGATGAGCGCGCCGGTCGCGTCGCGGGCGCTGTCCCAGCCGATGTCCACGTTGCCGTCGCCGTCGAGGTCGGAGAGGGAGGTGAGGTCGATGCCCTCGCCGTCGCCGTCGTCGGGGCCGAAGTAGCCGAGCGTGATGTTGTAGTTCGCCGGGTTGCCGACGGGCTCGCCGTAGATCGAGAGCGGGTCGGAGCCGTACACCGGTTCGAAGGTCGTCAGGATGGCGCCCTCGATCTCGGCGTTGCCTCGGACGTCGAGCACGCCGGCGATGATCGCGCCGGAGAGGCGGACGTCCTGCGTCGGGGGTGAGTTGTTGGTGCCGATGTCGACGGAGTAGTTCGGGAGCATCATGCTCGAGCGTGAGATGGCCTCCATGTCCGACGACTCGGGGTTGTACGCCGGGTCGTCCGGGAGCGTGGGGTGGACGCTCGCGAAGCGCGTCGCGCCGGTGAACTGGAGCTTGGCGCGGACGGCGTGGAACGAAGTCGGCTTGTCCGAGACGATCGCGCCGACGAAGAGGCAGTCGTGGAAGCGGATGTTGTTGGTGATGAGCTTCGTGTTCGTGCACTGGTCGTTCGCGGTGCCGTCGCCGTCGAGGTCGACGCTCACGATGAGCGGGTCGGGCAGCGCGTCGTAGCCGGGCTGCGCGGGGTCGGCGTAGGACTTGTCCAGCTGCGCGTCGGAGATGGCGGGCGGGGGCGGGTAGGTGACCGAGAGCGTGCCCGTCTCGGTGTCGAGACGCTCGTGGCCGTAGAAGATCCAGGAGTCGTGCGTGTTGTCCTGGTAGCACTCGATGCGTGTGACGCCGATGAACTCGCAGTCGATGAACAGCCCGTTCGTGCCCATGGGGATCACGACGTCGCGGAAGACCATGTTCCGGTAGACGGGGCGCTCGTAGTAGTCTGCGGGCGTGGGCGAGCCGAAGGGGGTGGACTCGATCTTCGTCTCCGTCGAGCCGCCCTGGGCGGCGACCTGGGTGGCGAAGTCGTCGCCGTCGGCGAGCGTGATGAGGGTGGCGGTCGCGTCGTTGAACGAATCGGCGCTGATCGCGGGGAGTTCCTCGTCGGTGGCGCTGAAGCTGACGGGCTGCTCCTCGCCGGCGCGGATCGCGCCCTGCACGTCGCGCTGGTAGTCGAGCACGGTCTCGCCGTCGAAGCCGGTGGAGGATTCCCAGTCCGCGCGGTCGGCGCGGAAGGTGACGTGCCCGCGGATCTTGGCGTACACGTCGCGCCGGTCGATCGCGCCGTCGCGGTAGCCGAGGGTGACGTCGTCCGCGTCCACGTCGCTCGCGTCGATCGTGCCGTCGCCGTTGTTGTCCTTGAACGTCCCGAAGTCCCACGCGCCGGCGGTGAAGCGGCCGTTGAACCGCCCGTTGCGGTTGCGGTCCGGGTTGCCGGAGTCGATGAGCAGCGCGAGCGCGTCGTCGGCGGTGAACTCCGCCGTCTGCCCGGCGTGGGGCGTGCCCTGCGTGAGCGCGTCGGAGAGGACGACCTTGCCGTCGCCGTTCGCGTCGTAGTGCTTCAGGAAGATGTCGAACTCGTCGACGGTGCCGTCGAGCGTCTCGTCCTGGAAGGCGAGGTCGCCCAGCGTGTCGCCGTCGTAGTCCTCGGCGTTCAGCGATGCGAGGGAGGACGATTCGGTCGCGTGCAGCTCGCGGAGGCGGTTGTCGCCGTCCGTGTCGTCGGTGAGCACCGCGGCGTAGAAGTCCTCGAGCTTGGAATCGAGCGTGGCGTTGATGCCCAGGAAGTCGGATTTCACGACGAGCGGCGGTCCGTCGAGCGTGTCGAGGGCCTGCGAGTTGTAGCGCGCGCCGAGGGGGCCGTCGACCTGCACGTTGCGGCCGATCATGATGCGCGACGGCGCGAGGATCGCGTGCTCGACGCGCTTGGAGAGCCCGAAGCGCTGCTGGGCGGTGCGCGTCATCCAGCGCTGCTGCACCCAGTCCCACTCGTAGCCCGTCGCGACAACGAGGACGTCGCCGTTGGCGTCCGGCGGGAGGTAGGTGATCTGCGCGGCGGAGACGATGTCGCCGTTCGCGTCGCGGTCGAGCCCGATGGGGCGGGCGACGATCCAGTCCGTCGGCGGGCTCGGGAGGGAGATGGTGGCCTCGATGTTCGCCGCCTCGTCCGCGTCGAAGCGGTTCTCCAGAGCCTCTCGGATGCCGCCGGGCAGGGCCGCCTCGGCCGAGCCGTCGACGGGCGGGAGCACGGTGACGACGGGGGTGGAGGGGTACGTCCCGGACCAGAGCTGCAGGGCATACGCGGGGGTGATCTCGCCCTTGGCGACCAAGAAGCGCGCGGTGGCGTCCTCGAGGCGGCGCTGGGCGATCTCCAGGGCCGCGTCCGTCGCGGCCTGGGCGCGCCCGACGCGCCGGTGCGTGTCCGCGGTGCGGAGGTTGCCCTTGGAGACGACGGCCATCGCGGTGGCGAGCGAGGCGAACATGATGAGGAACATCATCGCCAGCACGCCCGTGAGCCCGCGTCGCGTGCGCGCACGCCCGGCGCGTCGTTTCGTTCGTTGGGATGCGAGTCGCTTGAACATGGCTGACTCCTTCAGACGTGGGCCCGGCGTCCTGCCGGTCCCGCTCAGCCCCGCCGGGTTCACTCCGGCGCGGGCGTGAGAAAGCGAGTGTGCGGCCGGAGGCCGCTACGGAGCGCTCGGAATCAGGGCGGGACGATCCAGCTCGCGCCGCTCACAGGCTGGGCGGTCGTGTCGAACTCGCCCTGGAAGAGGACGGTGACGGTGACGCGCAGCGGGTAGCGGTCGACCTCGCGGACGACGTCGGAGCCGCTGGTGATCTGCGCGTTGTCGTTGACCGGCGTGGCGTAGTTGAAGGGATCGACCTTCTCGACGGTGACGATCTGCGTCCAGCCGCGCATGGTGACGGGCTCCATCTCGCCGTCGACCTCGATCATCTCGCTCGTGCCGTCCCAGAGGGTGTTGGGGATGGCGTCGCCGAGCGCGTTGATGGGGCCGGGGTAGCGGCGGGTCAGGGTGAAGCCGGCGGGGAAGTTGGTCGCGTTGCCGAAGACGGCGCCGTCGAAGTCGTCCAGGTCGTCCAGGTCCGACGCGTCGGTCTCGCCCGCTTCCGGGCCCCAGCCCGTCAGCGTCCCGGTGTCGCCCGGGGTCGCGTAGTAGAGCCCGCCGGAGAATCGGTCGTGGCGGGGCATGGGCCGAGTGAGCTCGCGGAGCTCGTCGGCGAGGTAGCCCGACGTCGCGGCGTTGGAGGACCACGCGTTCTTGACAAGGAACGCCTGCTGGGCCTGCATGATCGCGAGGAGCCCGACGGAGATGATGACCAGCGCGAGGCCGGTCTCGATGAGCGTGAAGGCCGGGGGAGCGCTGCGCCGGGATGTCGCGCGTCGTGGCGTCATACCCAAAGCATCCGTTACGAGACGATCTGGCTCATCTTGAAGATGG